CAGCATTATACAACAATTATTCTATTTTACAAAGTATCTGTCTATTTTTTTATTTTCTGTGTTGACCCGCCAACGGAGACCTACGAAAATTACTACAATATAAGTTATACTGCGAATAATTTCTTATTTCCTTTTGACAGAAATCTGAAAAGCTTGGCTGTAAAAAGTGAGTTTTACTTCTCTATAAATGTTTTGGGTACATAGTAGTACTGTATTCCTTATATTTCATTATATCTTAGGAAATAAAAGTAGTCCCACGTGCCTAAGACTGACTATATTATGGTATGTGTGGCTGCACCTCAGAAAATACGAGCAGAACAATCAATTATGTTGTATCAATGAACTCGTATAAAATTAAAATCCTGGATATGCACACATAATTGAATTCCACAATTAACACACCACCATTTTTTTTAATAAGGCCTTGTTTTCTCCAAGGGAAAGAGCCACTTTTGCTAAACTTTTCCCACCTGTGCTGGAGTCTTGTTGTGTCTTTTCGCAATGTCCGTGATCCGAGGCTCGTCCAGCAGAGAGGGATCATCGGACGAAACCCTTTTGTAAGTAAAAACAGAATGAAGCTTGACATTCTTTCTCTGAGCTCTCTGAGTGTATGTCAGGTGACCCTGCCTCTCACCAGGGTCTGTCGGGGGAGCCCAGGGGACTGTAGGCGGTCACCGGGACGCCCTTTGACTGGCAGTAGTTGATCAGCTTCTCCTGAGGCAGGTACGGGTGACTCTCAATCTGCAGAAACACCAGAATACTTTAGATGTACTCTCTTCTTCCTTCTACATTATGTTGTGCTGTCACACTCTTTGTTTTGTACCTGGTGGTTGGCAGGCTTGTATTTGAGGCCTGGTTTGTTGAGGAGTGCTTCGATCTGGTCTTTGTTGAAGTTGGAGATGCCGATAGCTTTGACCAGCCCAGCGTCCACCAGCTTCTCCATGGCCTTTGAGACACATTACATACTGTTGTTAGTATACTTCCAGTTTTGCATCCTATTTTTGTTTGATTTAAGCTGCCAGAAAATCAGCTGGACTGTCAGCTCGCCACTTAAGATTCAAGATTCAAGGCTTTTATTTTCATTAGGTCACAGGCTCCTCCAACAGTGCAACACAATAAACAGATACAATTGTGCAAGTAAATACAATCAAATAGAATAGAAGTAGTGTCATAAGAGTCTATATACAAGTGATAAATAAATTACCTCCCAGGTGTCCAAGAACTCGCTGCCATCAGGAATGAGCTGGTTGTTGGCATCAACGGGAAAAATATTATCCCCAGGCTGCATTGGAAAGAAAGTCAGAACTTAATGTTGGGTAATATGTGTTTTACTCTTCTTTTTTTTTTAAAGGGGACCTATCATGCAAAATGCACTTTTGTACGTCTTTTATACTTGAATATGTGTCCCAGGTGTCAGGGAACTCACCAAGTGTCAGAAAACACAACCCTCTCTCTTTTCCTCCATACCCAAATCTCTAAAAACGGGGCTTTAACGGATCTGATACAGACTGATACAGATTTGAAAATAGTCTGACGTCAGTGACGAGGAGCTCCGCCTATATGGCCAACTCTCCACCAATCAGGGGAATGAGAGGTTGCCGTGGCATGGTAACAGCATGGTAACAGCATGGTAACAGCATGGTAACATGACGCTCGTAACTCGGCCCCCTCCTTTGCAGGGGGCGT